TCTCTACTCGTACTGTATATTTATAGACCATTACAAATGCTCGAACTAACTTATTACATAGGGCTCTTATTCTTGGGCTTTCTTCCTTTTGGGCTTGACTTCATCATGTAAGTCTCAGACGTTGGGCCTAACTTACATTATTTTCTTTATGGGCTGAGTTCAACTGTTCGGTCAGATCCTTCTTTCGTGGGTGTTGGGCTCATTATGCTACCCTTTTTGCTTGGGCTCGGATCTACCACTCAACCTGGTGCTCTGGTCGGGTCTGGTCCAGTCCATCTTTGATATCCCATATTATCATCTATATAATGACTATATAATGACGTGGTGATAACATCATCTCTCGTTCAGATCATCAGACATCATTTCTTTTATTTTCATTTATTTTTGAATAATTTTATTTATTTATTTATTATTATTTATTTTTAAAAGAAAACTTCACCGGTGAATTCGATAATTAGACTCCCATTTTTCTTGCTTAAGATGTTATTACATATGAGGTTCAAAGCATCAGGAAGGGGAAGTAACGCCTGGCTTCGCCGTTAATTTTGTAAACTTTTGTACACAACTACTACAATTTTTTAGTAAGAAAATTTAAAAAAATTGCCTAAGCTATATGCCTAAAAAATAAGCAAACATTGAAAAGGTACAACGAATTTGCAATTTTAAAAGGGCAGACATTGCAACTCTTAATTCTCTTCTAGTCTTTATCGAAGTCTAAAATTATGGATTCTAAGTCAAAAGGTCATGCCTTTTTATTTCCCCATCTGGCACTTTTCTATGCTCATACTTTGAATATTATTTTATACAATGGCATGTTATGAGTTGGGAAAATGATTTTGTCGCTGAATTTGATGAAAAATTCACGTGTCTAAATATTGTCATTTATGAGTTTTACTTTAGTGCTGATAACATTGCAATATGTCACGTGTGAATATCACATGTAGAATTTAATGACCCTATTAGAAGAATTTAAAGTTTTTAAAAAACTTTAGATTTAGAAAAATGATTCTTACTTGATAGTAAATTGTTAGATTTGTATTTTTAATTGATTAATTATGTAATAAATAAAGAAGTTGAATCCTCCACTTAACTGATTTTAATATTTAGTATAAATAGTCTATCATTATTCTCAACTTTATTACATGATTAAAGATGAGAATTTGAATATATTTATACCAAATATTATGTTAAAAAAACAAAAAAAAAAGTCAAATATTTAATTGGTACTAATGACATGTCCCTTTTGCTCTCTGATTTTTCATTCTCTGAAGTCACCAACATTAAGTGGAAACACAATCAACATCAGAAATTGAATAAAACATATTTGTACCGTTGTGGGCTAAAGGCATGCAATAACTATAGCACTATTAGTCTCTCTCTCTCTCTCTCTCTCTCTCTCTATTATGTATTATCTTTTGTTTTGAATGGCATGATCTCTGTAAGGAAAGAATTGAGAATTCTAGCTTATTGTAAATACGACTGTGCTGTGCTTTTAAAAAATTAAAATAAATAACATATAATAATTAGTTATTTCTTACATCCTATGTTTGGTAATGGTCTATACGTGTTCCACATTGATCGCCCAATTTTTTGGTGTCACACAATCTGCTTTCCTAATATGCTTAAACCACACACAATTACATTCACAATAGGGATTAGCTGACTCCGTTTTTTTTTTTTTTTTGTCAACCGACCAACCATATGGTCTTTACACGGAATGCAATCCAGCTCACTACTCCAATTGTAATATGTGTGTGTGTATATATATATATATATAGAGACACACACACAGGTATGGGTACATATATGTGGGAAAGTCTTTTACTAAATTTATTTAAATAGGGAATGATATCTTTATATTTAATAACTTCATAATAATATCATCTCCACTCAAATAAAATAGTTCAATGTATCCAACTTTTAAGTTACTTATCATTATTCCTCTCATGAACAAAAGAACCGTTCAGAGTTCAATTTAAGTGTATAAGTGAGAGTTCAAGAGTTTATTTTGGGAGATATATATACATATATATCAATGAACTTTTACTGATTATATTTGTGGAGAAGTGTAAAATCATATAGATTAGATGTTCATTGTGTATACTACTGATTAATTTCGCATATAAACACACAAACACGTGTATATATATACACACATATACACTAAGTTCCCTTATTCCTTGTTTAAATTAAACATTAGTCTAATAAACATACAAAACAGCTTCCCACAGGCAATGACGCCTTCAACAAGGACACCATAGAGTATAGAAACACACACACACACACACACACACATATATATATATATATATATATATATATATATACAGTTATACACACACATCTATATATATATATATATATATATAGGTTGCTTTTTCAAATAACAAACACCTTCCCGGAAATTTCCAATGACTTAATGCATGAAGGAATGACAACACAATGGACAATATGAACAAGCAATTTCTTTTAGAAGTTTCCTTTCAAATGCATGCCTACTAGTAATTATATACATTCTTTTTAAATTTTTATTTTTTATTTTTTATATTGACATGTTATATATAAAAGAAAGAACTATGTGAATACAAATAAAGGAGAATTATTATTATTTTTTAAAAATAAAAAATAAAAATTCATACTAATAAAGGCTTGTGAGTTGTGGTTTGCTTTCTCCCCTTTTAAAGTGAAATGTAGAGAATTGATACTTTTTCGCTTTTCAAAATAGACGATAGAGGAGATTTCAGTCTTTATAAGAGCAAAGCAAAACTTTTCAAATAAAATTCAAATTGTTTTGAAAAATCACACGTTTTTACATCTTGAGAATAGTATAAATAAGATGATAGTGCGCGGAGCTAGCTCAATGTAAATTACATCACTCGTTTTTATTGGCGTGAGCATTTATTTTCATACTAATGGTCTAATTGTTTTGATTGATTATTTTTCTTTGTATTTCTAACAAATGTAACATCAATCTTTTTCATCAATACGTTGATTTTTATTTTATCCTTTCGTGTTTTGTTACACATCAATATTTCATTTCAACCATCAAAACATTCTGCTTCTGAACTGTCCAATATTTGGTCTCCATGAAATTTAATTGGTTTAATAATTTGTCATATAAAAATTATCTTTCCATTGATAAATACTCACTGATTGATATAATGATACTTTGGAATCATTTCTACATTTAACTCATTCTCATTTAATTATACAACTATATAATTCATAATTCTTTTATCTTTTTTATTGACATCGTTTTTTTTTTTTTTTTTTTTTTTTTTTTTTTTTTTTTAAAATTAATAATAATCTCGTATCAAGATTTGGATCCTCTATTGTACGGCACATTAAATCAATGTGAATGTGATTATTTTGAATGCCAATTTATTGTATTGTATTTAATCAAGTCGCAACATTAATTAATGGTCGATGCAAGATAATTTAATGGGACCTTGAAATAAATAGTGTTTACATTTATGATTTGTAGTTGCGATAACGGTGTAACAAATTCGGATGATTATTAATATAAATCGACCAAAATGATTCATAGAAGAATGTAACGATAAATAATTACAAATTGACTGATATGTTACACAGCAAACCACTCTAATGTCTAATTTTAATAATCATGTATGGTACACTATAATCCAAAATGGAGCACAGTTTCTTGTAGAAAGAAATACTTGTTGACATTTAAAAGAAATTGTTAAGAGTTCTTTATTACTCCTTCAGTCCCAAATTAAATGTCGTCTTGTGAGTCATAGTTTTTAAAGACGACATCTAATTTGGGACCTTGTGAGTCATAATTTTTAAAGACGACATCTAATTTGGGACAAAGAAAATATATGTTAATGAAAAACTACTTACCAAAAATATATATATTAATGAAAATCTAGTGGGACCGCACATTTTCTACTTGCATGTTATATTATGCATGTGATAGAATATCACGTGATAAACGTCCACGTAATGACCCGAAACCTCTAAATAACTATTAATTTTTTTTTTAATTACCGGGTAAAATTGTATGAACTATGTACATTTTGTAAATTTTTAATTACAAATTTACCCTTATTGGCATAATTATTTAAGTTTTTATAGAGACAAAGTGGGTGTAATAAAATATTTAAATATATTTTTAATAGAATGACTTAATTTAATAATAACAATAACTATCACTAATAATAATAATTAAGTAATATTTCTTTTGTATTTTAAAATATAAAAAGTCAATAATTTAAGTCCCTAACGTGACTAAAAGTGAATGTGTCATATGAATGCAAAATAATAATAATAATAAATAAATAAATTGGTTGGATGAAGAAAGAAGGGAATTTTTTTTTTTTTTTTTTTGGTGTTTTCTAATATTACTATAAAAATACCTATTTTCTATATTTTTTGGGAGAGAAAAAAATAGACAAAATTTTGAAAAAAAAATGTTTAAATAGGCTGTTTCATTAGAGAGCTCTCTTGAGTGCATTATTAGATTTATGGGTGTTTTCAAATTCCATGAAATTTGGTGAAATTTGATGAGATATGTAAGTTAGTTTAGTTTAAGTTTTTAAATTCCTCAATATACCCTCCTCTTTGGTGCAACTTAATAGTGTAGTTTTAATTAATACTCGGTAATATTTAAATAGTAAAAGAAATAATGATAAGTAAGTTTACATACATTATCTTTGATTAGGTCTACTTATTATTCATCAACATGTGACCCAAGTATCATCCATTTTCCATTTTGATAAGATTTTCTAAAACACGTGAATTCACCTTTTTGCCCTCACTACTAACGAAATTAATCAGTCGTTTGTTTTTCACAACATAAATAGAAGTTAACACAATCCTTTACGTTATTCTTTCTTAACGTCTCTCTCTAGATGCCCAAATGAAGTTACTTTTAAAAAGGGCAATTTAGTAAAAACAATTAAGGGTTAAATTTGTAAATTCATCTCGCCAAACACGGACGATTCCTAAACCCAAGCAGTTTATAAAGAGCTCCTCTGTAATTGGTATCAAATCATCTCTGAATTCCCTCCCAACTTCCACACACACCAAAGCCAAGAGCCCAAGAACTTCCTCTCTCCCCTCCCTTTTCTCTCTCTAGAACCAATTTATACATATATATAGAGAGAAAATGGGTGGGAAGAGATTCGCCGTCCTCCTCTGCGCAGAAGATTCCGATTACGTGAAGAAGATCTATGGAGGGTACTTTGGGGTGTTCGTGAAAATGCTGGCCGAAGAAGGCGAGACCTGGGACATGTACAGAGTCGCCGGCGGCGATTTCCCCGACGAGGAGGAGATCGGCGACTACGACGGATTCGTCATCACCGGGAGCTGCAGCGATGCGCACGGCAATGATGTTTGGATCTGCGAGTTGTTGAGTCTGCTCAAGAAATTGGATTCCATGAAGAAAAAAGTTCTGGGTATTTGCTTTGGCCATCAGGTATTTCCATTTCCATTTCCATTTCCATTTCCATGCTTTTCTTTTCCGTTTCCATTTCATGTTAACTAATTCTTACAATTGGATCTTTTTTTTGGGCTAAGTTTTGTAAGTAAGAGCTGTCTTCTACCGTTGTTTAAGTGCATGACACTTGTTCAGAAAGTTTTGTTTGTTTGGAAGGAAAATATTTTAAAACTTAAATCATTTTTATGTAAACTTTCTTTTGTGTGAAACTAATTAAACCTTTATTTTTATTGATAAAAACTACACCATTGCTTCTTTTTTTTTTATTTTTTTATTTTTTTTATCGAAACAAACAGAGGAAAATGTTAAATTTTTTGGATTGTTGTTGGATTTGTTTAATCTATTTTGTTTCTGTGCCAACTGCTAAGAAATATATATTTTTCCTTTCCAAGTAACCAAGTTTCAAATGGACCAATATGACCTTTGAGATTGCCAATTCGACTAAAGGGTATTGTTGTCTATTCATAATTTATTCACATGTTTAAACTCTTTCGTTTTTGTATTTTTCCCCCTTGCAAACTCTTCGAACTTGTGATGGGACTTTCAAATTGACCAATATGACCTTCGAGATTGCCAATTCGACTAAAGGGTATTGTTGTTTTTTCATAATTTATTTGACAGTAAGTACAAAAATGTCAAGCATAACGGCGAAAGTTAAATGAAAAGTTAAAAGGAACTGGTGTTTCCGTAAATAAAGGTTGACGTGCCTCTCACGCGCCATGTAATGCGCGTAGGCTTAATCCGACCAGTTGTGGTGGTGGCCGGTGTTGATCTACCAAAGATAGGTTACAGTATGAGTGGTCCATTCACCGTATGATTCTGGCGTGTTTTGGATTGCGACAGGTAGATCGTTGATCTGTGTCGTACTTACTGACATGGTGGTCCCATATTAGCTACACGAGTTTTCAATGGCTTCTAAAAACAGTTGTAAAATGCCAGCTGGTTTAATGGATATTCAATATTTATAGGCATTTGTCACATCTCAATTTTCTTATGGCAGTGCTAGTGATATTACTATCACTTGCATCATATTTCAACATCTCCATACATAATAGTGTTAAAAATAAAATAAAATAAAGTAAAAAAACTGAAATTCATACTCATCGAAGACTGAAATTCGGTCGCTCAATATTAGCTCAAATGGTAGAATCTCTAAAAAAAAATGTTGTGAGTCTGTGACCGACACTACCGTGTCGGTTATGACTTTCGCTAATAATTTATATTCGGGTCATGGGCAAAGCACATTTGTTTTGTGATGTGTATGCTCCTGTCAACCTCATTGGAGTGACTAGGATGCAAAATGAACCCATTTCATCTTGGGGTCTAATCTGATTTGAAGTTTACTTTTTCGAGATTGGACCTTCAAATTTACATTTGAATTTCGAAAAAAGATAAATTGTCTTAAATATGGGCTAGGTTTGGTTATATGTATAGCATAGTCTAAATTAGATTCGATTTGATGAGACCGTATCTTTCAAGGATATGGACCATCAACCATAGTATTTGGGGTCAAAGTTTCATGAATTTGCAGAAGTGGGATCCATGCAGAAGATTCACTTCATTAGGGAATGAAAAAGATTCTCCTTAATGAGGCATCGATTCGTAATATTTTTTTAAGCTTTTGATATTGTTACACATCTGTATGAATTGGTCGATTCAAGCTCACACTGATATTCGACGAGTCTGTTACACCGCGATTACGAATTATATTAAGGAGTAAAACATGCTCGGATGCTTAAAAACCGACCATACATTCCCTTATTGTTTTGAAATTTTCCAAATTTTTTAAAAAAATTTTATTTTTTTGGACCACTATCAAAGGGTAAAGGACTTGAGAAAGGACCACACATTTCTCTTACCATTAAAAAGGGTAGCACATGTTAGGTGTCTTGTAGCACATTGTAGGGTGTCTAGTGCAACATTTGAATTTGGTTACATTCTATTTGTGACTTGTCAATGTGTAGGCCATTGTACGAGCATTGAGAAAGCTACATGCATTATATACCACATTAGAACAACCACTATAGTTTGCACACAACCCATTAATCCATAGGTTTATGTGAAAGGGACGAACTAGTTGCCAAACACATGACTTCTTTTGGTTGGACACTAGAAATAAATGTTTTATAGTCGCACCTAATAAATAATAATTATTCCCCTTTCTAAATCTATACCATTTTTTGATACACTCAAATTATTAAAGTTAGCCTCAACACATTGAATTATTATTTATTGTACATGATACATATGAAAAGGACTCAAAAGTGTCAAATTACCCATTTACCCTTGCTTCAAGAACAGATATTTTTGAATAGAGAATTTATCAATTTTTTACTAGATGAGACAGAGAATATGCTATGTATGCTTTTTTGCCCTTGTATCAAGAACTTTATTTTTTGTTGTGCCAACTACACAAAATCAAAGACACTCATTTGTACATTTGTGGCATTAGGTGCGACAAATTGTATGGATCAAGAACTTTGCTTTTTGTGTTTTGGATAAAATAATTGCATTGCTGTTTGTGAAGCCATTTTTATATGTTATCGAAAAAAGCCCCGGGGCCCTCCTCCTCACACACACACACACAGGCTTTTGTGCGTGACACTCGGCTGTTGTCGGCAGATGAATGCCACCGCCATCCTTGGAGGAAAAAGGTGGTGCCTAAATTGACATTTGGAAGTGATTTTTTTTTTTTTTAATCAGCCAAAATTTTGGACTTTGGGTATGAAAATTAACCCTTATATGTTAAGTCGGTTCTAGCATTACTCTTTGACATTAACGTAAACTCAACTCAACAAAGTATATATTTTTTTTCAACACGCATATTTACGTCTGTATACACAATTTTGACCAACGGCTTTGGTTCTAGCATTACTCTTTGACATTTACGTAAATTCAACACAACAAAGTATTTTTTTCAACACGCATATTTGCATGGTGTGTTTGTGTGTGTAGATGAAGTTTTGCTATTTTCATATCTTGAAGAGTTGAATAAACGTCTTTCCATCGCTGTATATATGTATATTATATTATACACATGATTTGGTTAATTAACCAACACCCTTGTTGGGTAATTAGTGTTGTAACCTCAAGATTTTGTTGTCATATTCAACACACGTCGTGTGCATTATATTTTTGTCCCCCAATAACGTGAGTAAGATAAGGACGCTAACCCTTTGTTCCTGATTTGCTTTTCAAATATATGTCATCTCACATAATAAGATATCATTTTTAAGTAACAAGCTAACAATAGAACCATGCCTATCATATGACATTTTTAGGTATACAATGTAACTACATTTGATATTTCTTGGGCATTTATTGGTAACATGTCTTTCTGGAATACAACCACTTAGGGACCACACTACCTGCCAACTGTATGAAAGTGAATTATTGATATATATCTGTCATTGTGTGTGTATATACACATATGTCTCTGTTTATTTGATATCAAGTAGAGCCAAAGTAATTTGCATAGCCTTAATCACAATGTTGGTTGACTTTGGTGCAGTTCTTGTTTTGTTACTTGCAGTGTTACACACACTATTGTATGTGAAATGTTTCAGGAGCAACAAAATGTTTTTGTTTAATAGAAATAGAACTTTGTTGTTGAAAACAACTTGTTATGATATTTGAAAGAGGTGATTATATAGATATTGAGCCGTGCATTGGGGGGTAAGATAGGCCGGAACACCTCTGGTTGGGACATCGGTGTTACAACCGTTCATTTGTCATCATCGTCGAAGCTCTTCACATCTCTGAAAATGCCTGCTCTGCTACCGGTGATTGAATGCCATCGCGATGAGGTGCGTGTTAAGAAAACTGCAGCCTGCATGCTTTCATTGAATAGTTACTTCAAATTGTGAAAATGTTCCAAACTAACGTACTTGTAATACACTAGGTGTGGGAACTGCCACCCAAGGCAGAGGTAATCGGGTGGTCCGATAAGACAGGGGTTGAGATGTTCAAGTATGGTGATCACATTATGGGCATCCAAGGTCATCCCGAGTACACTAAGGACATTCTTTTGCACCTTATCGGCCGCCTTCTCCAGCGCAATTTCATCGTGGTATGTCAACCGTCCAATTATGGTATAGTCCGCGAAACAGACGGCCATGAATTGATATACTCGTGTCTTTTATAATATGCAGGGTGCTTTTGCTGATGAGGCGAAGGCTAGGGTGGAGAAACATGAGCCAGACAGGGAGGCATGGAAGAAATTGTGCATCAGCTTTCTGAAGGGTTAGATTGTGATGAAAAACTTCAAAAGAAAAAAATAAAAATAAAAAAAGAAAAAAGAAAAAAAAAAATTTGGGGAATGGAATTGTAAATATGAACTAATTTGGGCAGTCGGTTAGAGGGGTGCCTTAAGGCAGCGAGCATGTAGCACAGCTGCATTAGGCACAATGGATGTGGAACTTTAATCATCGTTGGATGTAATCATGTCACATATCCTGAAATTGACAAAAGACCAACTAAATTATTGAATTTAAGTTGTTTCCCATTCAAATCTATTGTGTATGGTTTCAAGTGTTTGACTGAATTGTTATGAATAAAAATCTATTAGCTAAGGAGATTATAACCTGAAATGCGACCCTCTTTATGATTTGAGATGAGTAGATACAATGTCCAACACTCCGACCGGACCGGACTGTGAGTGACCAGAGTAGTGATACAATGTCCGAATGGACTGTGAGAGTGACCAGTGATGCAATGTCCGACACTCCGATCGGACTGTGTGAGTGACAAAGATTGTGGAAGTTGTCCTTTCACAATTACTGGAAAAAGAAAAATATTTAAATAAATTTTGGGGAATTGATTATACGGGGTCAAGTACAGGAAAAAGAAAAATTTCAAAATGCTTTCTGTTGTCATCCTCTAGTTTTGAGTTTACTCTGTAAATTACAGGAAAAAGAAACTCTATCAAGTATTTTTTAACTTTAGCTAGGTAAATGAGAATTTTATAAGAATTCGGTGGGGGAATTTAGTATCTCCATAGCCGGAGTGTTAAGTATATAAAAATTCATCAATATAAACACAAATGCAGTAACAAGTCAGTTCGTATTCTCTATCTGGCAGCCCTGTAGTTCACCAAACAAGAAGCCATCTACCATTTTAAGAAGCGTAGCCCTGTAGGGGTACAGGAGGCTGAAACAATGATGAGAAAGGAAGTAGGCCTGATACACTGACAAATCTGTGAATGGGGTACCCTTCTCTTCTTCCTCCAACACAACATGGATTCCAAACTCCTTTAGCTTGAGCTTACTACCAAACCAAAAAACCATTGAAATATTCACTTCATCACCAGCTTCCATCAATTGATTCCCAAAATTCCAATGGCTTAACCATACCATCTCCTTGCCCTCATCTGGAACGCCCATGAATGTTGGGCTGTATATCCACTTCACATCCTTTGTCCTATTACTCACTTTAATCATGCATAACTCACCACGCCCATAATCATCCATAGGATTACCAGAATGTTCATCAGTCTCTGCATAGACAACACATATATTCAAGCCTTGGATCTTCAAATTAGGACATGAAGACACCTTAAAACATATTGAAGGTTCCATGCTCTTAATGCTGTACCAGCCTGGAACTTCGTTACCAGGGAGAAAAGTGCTAAATATACCCAATTCATACGGTCCCTACACCATCGAAATCATCATTTTTAACTCTTACGAATATAAGTGTGTGAGAGAAAGAGAGAAGAGAGAGAGAGAACTCACCTGAAGGGGAACTTTTCTTATAGTTTCCGTCATGTTATTGAGCAACCACACTTCAATGTTTGTCAGCAATTCCAAGTTGGACAAGCCCAAATTGTTGATCATTACTTCATCAAAGTTTCCAATGGGTTCTAACTTGAACAACCCCTGAACCTCACGTAGTTTGTAACAGTCATCTATAAACAAATCAAGAGAATCCAACAGGTTTGGTAGATTTGTTATCATTTCCAATGAGCTGCATTGGTATAATTGCAACCTCGTTAAACTCATTGGAAGCTCCGGAAGTATCTGGAGTGTTTTGCATTTGTTTAGATAGAGTTCCTGGAGCATAGTGAGACACTTGACGCTCTCTGGAAGGCTACAGATTGGGTTTTCACTTAGATTCAAGTACTTCAACAGGGATAGGCTGCCAAGATCGTTTGGAATAGCATCATTTGATAGGTTGCAGCCAACAAGACTCAAACTTGATTACGAGCGAGGTAAAGAAAACAATGAAAAGCTGATCGATTCTGGACTTCTTCTTGGTCCCAATAGCAAATCCCGGAAGTGTGAAGGCCATGATCTTACCCCAGTAGTCATGGAGGGTGATTGATTTATGCCAATCCCATCTGCAGGGAGCAATTTCAAAGACTCCATCTTGCCCAGCACTGTAGCCAAATTCTCAAGCTTTAAACAATGAGATACAATGAGTATTTGAAGAGATTTTAGCTGGCCAATTTTCGATGGAAGCTTCCTAAGATTTTTGCAACCTTTTAGATTCAACAGAACTAGTCTCCCTAATTCCCCAATTGATTCATGAATCTCAATCAAATTTATGCAATTTTTAAGAATCAATTTTTCGAGACTGGGGACTTGTGAGAAGTCAGGTGTGTTGGAAAGAGCATGAGAATGGCTGAGATTAAGGATTTTCAAGAATCCGAGCAACTGTTTAAAAAGATACAAAATATTAGTGAAACACACTTGACATCCCAAGAACTTTACCAATGCAACACGCAATGGCCCATTTAGAAATGAGTTTAAATGAATATTGATATTAATCACCAAAGGAAAAAAAAAAAAAGGTAAAGGAAAATAATTAGTATCAGACCTTGTTTCCATTCCAAGCTTGTTTCAAGCTGCTATTGCGCATGTCAAGGGCAACCAGACTTTCCAGATGAAGGCCATTGGGTATAGATTCTAAAGGGAACCCATACCAACACAACCATTTCAACTTCATAGGGAATTCTTCGTAGTCTCCTTTGAGCCTTGCATTATTTAGCTGGAGTAGTCTTAATCTGGGCATCCTTGAAAATGCATCAATGTGCAAATCTACTTCATTTGATGTGGAATTTGATCTCGTTGAGGTAGAATTTATAGGGAGCCAAGAGAAGAAGCCTAGACGACGCCGCTTCAATGAATTGTTTTCGGAAAGTAATGTTGGTTTGTCAAGAAAATCTTCTGAATGGTGTCTTTTTGCATTATCTAAACCAAAGAATTTCTTGCTGGACCTATCTTCCTTAGATGCATTCAAGTTGAGAGTGAGGCCTTCGATGGAATCTGTTCCCTGATAAGAGGACTTGAAAAGTAAGCACACCAACAAAAAAATATACAAATACACATCATGAGAAGCATATTTCTTACAGTTTTGTCATTTACTATGCTAAAGGCGTCCTTGTGATGCCACAATCTGCTGCGTTTCCCAGGTTCCTTGGGTGATTCTTGGCGTATGATTTCTCTCCCCATGTCCCGAAGCAACTGATGCATTGTCAACTTGTTATATTCATCGATAGTTATGAGGCATCTATCAATGAGATTGTGAATTCCAACTTTTGGGTAGAAATCACACCCATCTAGTATTGTAATTATGAAATCTTTATCCTTTCCAACAAAGAAACAAGCAATGTCAAGGAACAAATTTCTGTCATCGTCATCTTGTAAAGAATCAAAGCTTATTTTAAGTTTCTTTAGGATCTGACAATTAGGAAGAACTTCCAATTTCTCTAATGTACTTTCTCACACATCTACAGGTCTACCAGATAGGGAAGAACCCAACACTTGAAGAGCTAAAGGAAGCCTTCCGCAGTATTGTACGACCCTTTTTGACTTCTCCAAGTAAACTTCAATGGGATGGTCTTGTCCAAAGGCATGCCAACAGAAGAGCTGAAATGATTCATCATCATTGAATTCCTTAACTTTGTGCATCTTATATAGTTCATGTGCCTTCAACAATTGCTCATGTCTAATTGTTAGGATAATTTTACTTCCTGGATAAAACCAATCTCGCATGATGAGTAATGCATTTAATTGGTCTAATTGATCCACATCATCAAGAACAATTAAAACTTTTTTTACTGCAAATAGCATCTCTAATCTTAATGATTCCTTCGTCAACACTGCTAATTTTTTCTTTTCTCCCTCTTAGAATATCTGAAAGAAGTTGTTTTTGTAAACTAACCAAACCATTGGGTTGTTCTGATATTTTTCTAATATTTGCAAGGAAGCTGCTACCTTCAAATCTGTCAAAGTTTAGGTTATAGACAGTTTTGGCAATGGTCGTCTTCCCAATTCCACCAATTCCACATATGGTCACTATGCCAACATCCGTCGATCCATCTTGTATCCACAAATTAATGTCTTTTACATGAGAATCTATTCCAATTGGGTGTGGACAAACACTCAAGACCGTGCGATTCAATTTGTTCCCAATCTCTTTAACAATTTTTTGAATAAAACTTGCCTCCTGCCTACAAATTGCAATGGAAATGGATAAAGCCCACTAAAAACATCATCTTTTAAAATGAAACAACAATTGATGATTATAAAAATAAAATAACACAAATTATATGGTTTTCAATTTTGGCCTTTACGACTCATACAAACATATAGACTGCCTAGTATTATGACAATCTCGAATTGACAGAATTACATAGGTTATGTTAAGGATATATGAAAGAAAAAAGATGAGCATGTTCGCAAAATTCAAATAAGAAAGTTCACGAAAAGGGATTCATGTTGTCCACAATCCTATTTCCTTTCTTTTGGCTTCATCTACTTATTTCCAGAAATTTTGTAACTGCTGAATTTATTCTTTAAGCACTTTAAACTCGTACCATGCTATACTTCTTTGTATCTTAATTCCAGTTATGTTTATAATTTGTATTCTACATCATTGTAACCTTCACACAACTTGAGTTGTAAAATAAAAATGATTAAATGGGTAATTATTTTTAGCCCTTTCATGCTCAGTCCATCTTTTCTTTTTTCCTTCTATTTCAAACCTTTTGAATAGAAAACTTCTTCTAATCTTCTTATCATCAAATCTCTATATCTGTGGTCTATTACATTCAATAAACTCAGATTATTAGTAACATCTAAGCAGTTTCATATAAGAAGTTTCTAGACTCAACATCCAGTATTTGGAAACCACTATACCAGAAATTCTCAAATAGGACAGTAATATAACATCCCATTTTTATATCATACGCATATTGGATAGCAAATCTTCTACATCTACTTGAATTATTCTCAGTTTTGGATGGTGTCAAACTTTCTTATTGTATTGATAATTTGGCTAAAACTATATAGTATATAAATTCATAAAACGTTTTGATAAATAATATATAGACAGTATCATTGATGTGTCAATACATTTCAACTAGTTTAAAACATTAGCATTAAGAAATAACGTGGATAATGGGTAAAATTAGCATCTAATGGCAATAATAAATTGAAAGTATTCAATCAACACTATTAACTCTTCAATTAAATTACCCATCTTTTATAACCATCCCTGCCAAATCTGCAAC